CAGTTAATTCAGATAGGCAACAAATATCTACTTCCTCTCGGCCTGAAGTTAATCGACGTCGAGAAGGCTTTCGTCTCAGTTTATATTCGTAATAGATTGTTTGAGGCGTCACAGAATGGAGAAAAGACAGAAGAACCTCGCTGCCATAATAATGTAATATAATTGCTAGTGTGCAACTTCACGAAAACATAAATAAAGTCAAAAAGGGACTGAGACTGGGAGACGCAATATGCGAATGAAATACTCAGTACGCAAATGCGAAACGGACCATAACCGAGAAGGATATTCATAAACAGCAGACTACAACGCTACGTGGAAAAATGTCTTGAGAATAACAAGAAGAAATGGGAAGACGAATGAATGAGTAAAGGAACAAACAGGAGTCTGAGACATGATTGCCCAAGTAAAGAAGCTAAGGCGGCAATGGCAAGTTCTGCCTTAGTTATAAAGGTTAAGGGTAGTTTACTTAGGGTATCGCTGATCATTCCAGTTCTTCAGTTCATCTGTTCATCCAATTTCCTGTCACCTGTAAAAATGTCCCCTATGTACGTGAGTTTCTTACGTGATATTCCTCTACTGCTTTTTCATTTCTGTGCACAGGTCAGCGGAGAGGAGTACTAGAAAGCAGGAGGAATTTCGTTTTAGAACCATTCAAGCGAGCGCTGCAGGTCAGTTACAGAACATGCCATGGTTTGGAAACAGCAACCAACCTTCTCGTTTCGACATCACGTACATTGATACACTCAGTGACTTGGTTGCACCTGACTATTCCATCAATGCACAACACACAGGAAAGAGAACAGAACGCTGCCTTAGCGGGCAAGGGTGCAAACAGTGAAAGATCTCGATTTAACGTCATTTACTCTAATGCAAAACTTGCTACAGCTTGTGGTGATTGGATGGCCCGTAGTAACTGGCACTGGCCATCGATACCATATATTCACAGGCATGCCCACAGACTGTTGTGCGGGATCCTGGTCATGGGCTTTCTTTAGGTCAACAAAGCAGATATACACCGGATGGGCGAACTCCCACTATTTCACACCATCTGGCGTTGGAAACATATCTGGTCAGAGGTGATTCGGCTGGGCCGGAAGCCACACTAATCTTTTTCTATTTTAGATTCAGTTATTCTGCGGCAACACCTTTTCCTAGACTTTACACAGGAGATTCAGTAAGGTAATGCCTTGATAATTGGAGCACTCCTTATGGTCTCCCTTCTTGAAAGGAGTATTACAGTATCCGTTCTGAAGTCCATTCATGTCTTCCCAGTATGCATTGCAGTTGATACGTGCATACCAAAACATGCTTGTTCGCCCGATGCCTTAAGCATTTCAGGGCGGATTGCATCGATCCCAGAAGCCGTGCCGCATTTCAAGTTTTTTTTTAAGATTCTGGGACTTCGCCTACTGAAAGACTGATATTTGTTCCCCTGCTGCTCTGCGGACGAATCTTCCTACGGTTACTCGGGGTTAAGGAGTTTCTTAAAGTTCTCTCTCCATCTGTCCTTGTCTTCGGTAATAATGTGCCCCAATTTGTCCTTGAGGACACTTGGACTGTTTCTATTTTTCATTTCGAGGTGGCGAATGGTCTGCCGGAATTCCTCGCTTGCCATATGGAATGATGATTACAGCAATTCACCGAATTTTTTCCCGAATATTAGCGTTCGCTTTGGTAACTGTTTTCGTTGTTGCTCTGCGCGCTTGCTTCTTCATACTGCCATCGAGTTGAAAGCTCTTATCTTCCAATCCATCTTTTGAGCTTGGTCTGCTTTTTGCTGATAGTGAGTTGAACTTGTCACGTCCATCAAGAAGTTCGTTGCTGAGGTCCACATGGCATGGCAGCCCATTTTAAACCGCAGTATTCAGTGTCAGTTCCTAGTTATCCGTTTATACGGAGCTTCCACTCGATTTCCACGTCAGCAATCGTCTTTGGCATCTGTTCAGTGCATCGTGCAACGCATGTTTCGCCCTCGTACCCACGAAGGGTAGTGTTGCCATTTGATTTTCTGGTTGCTTCTGCAATTAAACCGTCATGTGGTTTCATTTCTCACAGTGTAGCACACCAACAAGGTGGTGATCGATTGATCGCTTTGCGGCCACTGTCTTAACGTGAAGATCCATTACAGAGCGTCGTAAGTCAGACGATACGCTTATCAAATCGATTATAGACTTCTGTACGCAAGCTTCCTGACACCAGATATGGTGATGCACGCTTCGATGCTGGAAGAGGGTATTCATAATGGAAAACACAAAACCGGAACAACTTCATGCCGTTACTGCTGAGGCCGCTAGGGCTGTTCTTTCAAATCACCATTTTCTACTGTTCAGTGAATGCATTGAGAAGCGTATTGAAATTGCCCATTAAAATGATGAATTCCGTTGTCAGCAGTTCGTAAAGAACGTATTATAGCATGAAAGCATGATAAGAATGTAACGGACTAATTTATATCGTGAACGGTGAAGCTAAATTTTCAACGACTCAAAAGGTAGGCGCGGTCGTCGTGGACGTATCAGTTGATTGCATAAATGTACCTGCAAATCTATCGTACGGTATTACTGGCGGCGGTTTTGACCGCGTTTTTAGTATTAAAGCGGTGTTCGCGCACGGCGCTTCCCAGTGGGGCCTGTGACGGCCGGCAGTCCATCCGGTCTGCAGGAACGCGAGGAATTCGCTGCTCGGCAGCAGCGGCGTCAG